CTACTGACAGATGTTAAAAGCCATATGGAGGATCTTCAGAAGTGGTTGACTTTGCCATCCTTCTGGTTCAGCAGAATCTCAGCCGTAGACATAAATCTTTTGCCAAAGATTTGTATGTTTTCAAGACTCTTCCTGTCCCATTGTTTGGATCTTTATAGATTTCAAAATGCCTTGGTGTACTTCATTTGGGTATCCAGGGACCACCAAGTAAACAAGACAATGCTTGTGCCAAAGGCCTTTGGAGATCTTGGGGTCTTCCCCAACTGGACAAACATTATCAAGCTGCTCAACTAAGTTGACTTTATGTAATGAATGTAAGAGGACCCGGCAGTGAGTCCACATGGAGGCTTTCTCTTGTGAACTGTATTCTATAGAAACCTCTATGTGGTTAAGATCTAAATTCAGATCTCCAAACTTCCAAAAGGAGTGAGGAGAGGAGTAGAGAGAGAGATTTGGGTGTCATCAGCGTAGAGATGGTATTTAAAAGCCATGGGAGGTTGTCCCTTGATCAAGAGAGGAGGTGTAGATAAAGAAGAAAAGGGGACCAAGAACAGAGCCTTGGGGACCCCTACAGAAAGAGGAAGTAGAGAGGAGGAGACAGTTATAGGTAACACTGAAGGAACAATGTGACAGGAGAAGAACCAGGAAAGAGCAGAATCTTGAAGGCCAAGGGAGTGGAGTTTGAGGAGGAGCTGGTGGTCAATAGTATAAAATGCCTTAATACATCAGGTCTTAAAAACATATTTTGACAAAATCAGGTTTTAAGTGTGTATGGACAGATGTCCACTTTGGTTATTAATATATATATTTTTTGCACATCAATAAATTGTACACAATCACTGACCACATCAGGAACATGCCAGGGCTGATGGGCTTTGAGCTGGTGTTGATGAAATGCTGCCTGTATGCAGGTCCATTCTGTTGGCAGTTGAAAGGCTATTGAGACTACTCTTCTAACCAGTTACCCTTCTTTTTCAACTTTTTTTCATACAGCCCAGAGCAGATCCCATACCCATCTGTAGTTTCTGTCTTGGAACAAAGGAATCAAACCGGGAGAAGAAGCCTGAAGAGTTGATCTCTTGTGCTGACTGTGGGAGCAGTGGTAAGTTGGCTTTTATAACTCCTGCCTTCAGTTTGTAATTGCATATACATTTTAAGTATATTCAAACACTTTAAAAAAGGTACATTCGATGAGAGATGCCCCACCACTCACCCCCGTAAGTAGTGTCTAAATTGATTGAGCCATGCAGTCCACGCTCCTACATTTTGTGTAGATCTTGCATAAGAAACCGTGGAAAGGTTTGCACAGTGACTGTGGTGACATATCCACCGCTGAAATATTTTTTCTCAGTACTTTGTATTTACTACATGTCAAAACTTCTGATTTGAAGAGGAGGCTCCCACTTTTTTTTTTCTAAAGTCATCAGTCTCCTCCCAATCATTTTAACAAATCTCTTTTCAGAATACGAACCTTATTGGTGGTAGAGTGATTTGCCATTGCTGAATTAAGATCATCCATATCCTCCAAGCAAAGCACATAGGGAAGTGCCCCCTCTGGAATATTACAGCCACTTTTCATTGAACTAATAACCAAACTGTCCCTTGTAGCTCTGTCATGTGATCTACAGTACCACGTCTACAGCCAAAAGAGGATACCATTCTTTGTGCATTGCTTGGGAGTAGTTTCACTAGTAGTGCACTAGTTGGATGTTAATTTGAAGGACATCTTTCATAAAAATGTTCTCCGCTGCGTGACTTTTTGAAATTTTTCTCAATCGAGTTCTTAATTGAAATGTTCCTCCAGAAGGTGTTCTGTGTGTTGTTTTTTTTTTTTTTTTTTTTTTTTTTTTTTTTTTTTACTTTTTAATCGGAGTGGCATATTTGGATTTTGGATATATTTTTTCTATTGAGAAAGAGTCTAAATTGTTTGCTGTTTTTTTTTTTTTTTTGTTTTTTTTTTTTTTTTTTTTTACTACACTTTCACACAGACGGTCCGATCGCATCCACCTGTCTGTTTTTTTTAGGCGGACCTGATCGGGCCATTCATAGACCTCTATGGAGCGGCGGGTGTCAGCGGACTAGTGACAACCGCCAGCATCCGATCCGATCCTGTACACCAAAAACAGACAGATGGGGATCCATTCTCCATCTGCCTGGTGGATCGGATGGAAATGGACAGGTGGTCCGTTTCCATCCAACCGCCCCATAGAAGATAGCTGGCAATGTCTGTGTCCGCTCTCAGCACCAGAGCAGACACAGACCTGTCATCTGCCTGCTCAGCGGAGAGATCCCTTGCTGAGCAGGCAGATTCACTGACGGGTCCGCCCCGTCTGAAAGGGGCCATGATTTACTAGCAGTCCTGTGTCTGGAGGCACTTCACCAATTACATGATTACTAGAAGATCAACAACCCACTTGCCTGCTTCTGCAGTGCCACCAATTCACTGGATGGACCAGTGATGCTTCCTTTAGTTTTCCCTTGGTTAAAGGATAAGTTCACCTTTTTGACAAAAATAATAAATGCACTTTTTTTTTGCAGGTTAAAAAATGTGCATTTATTTTTTTTTTTTTTCTGCAGGAGCCTGGAAAGCATTGCACCAGTGATCAGTAGATCGCTGATGCCATGCAAGTCTCCTGCAGAGCTGTCAGAATATCTGCGTGCCGCGTGGGATGTACAAGCGAGCAGATATTCTGATAGGAAGCTTCAATTAACTACTACGGCACCGTGGTAATTCATTGAAAACTGCAAGCCAATAGCCACTAAGGAGGCTGGGACTTGTAGGCACTCAATCACAGAACGCTGTTTTCAAATCTGACAGCAGGGGGAAACTTCTCCCCGTAGTCTGTCAGAGGGGGGGGGGGGCGGCGGGCGCATCTGCTGCTATTGGAACATGTTACACCCCAAAAACGGGTGGAACATGTTCCCAAAGGTGAACTTATCCTTTAACTGGACTGGGGATGAGTAGACAAACCCTACAATTTAGAAAAATTGTGAAAGCAGATATTCTGAAAGTGCAGAGAGGTGTGTGTGTTTGTCTGTTTTTTCTTTTGTTTTTTTTAATAAAGGCACATAACTGAGGCAATTTATTTTGAGAACTGTGTTGGTGGTTGAATGAAGAAAAACTGATATCTTTGGGGTGCCTAAGCGCTATATATATATATATATATATATATATATATATATATATATATATATATATATATATATATATATATATATAAGCTGATCATTAAAAGCACCCCTGCCAGTGGTAAATGGTTTTTCCCTACTCTAGCTGCCACTTTTGTCAGATGAATTGGTCTGTTAAAGGAAGCTTTAGGGTGACTTTACACACAATGCGGCATTTTACTACATTGCATAATGCCTGTCACTGCAAGGACACACAGAAGCAATTGTTTTTTGTATGTTCCATTTACACTGCAAACACAGCCTATAGCTGCGCTAAAATACAGACATCGTAAACATAAGAGTTATACAAAATTTACCTCTTGGTAGCGTTACACTATCCAAAAATTAAACTTAATCTTCCAAGGACTAGTCGCCCAGTGCTAAAGGTGTAAAACAAATGCGCACTACTGTGACTACTAAAAGTCCTCGGAGGAAGTCATAATGACGAAACGTGTTAGAGTGGGGCTTTACAGAGACCGAAAGTGATGTCAACACACTGGACTGGAAGTGATATCTTAGCAATATTAATGGCAATCTTTATACTGATGGGCATTGTTTTGTAAAACAAATGTCTGCCTCTGTGATGACTACTAGTTCATAAATAATGTCCCATGCATCGATCCAAAACAAAATTCAAGTGCTCCAATCCAAAAACCAGTCCTGGTCTTCAGATCACTTTCACCTCTGTGCTCCAAGTGATTTCCACTCCCCATAAGACACCACACAATTGCATTTGCCTCTCATTTTAATGATCAGCAAAAAACACACTCTCATCAAGTTCCTTCAGAGTTGCTCCTCCTTCAATACACCTCCATCAGCACCACACTATCTCCCATAGATATACTAGGGCTCTGAAAAAAGAGTGGCCAACATAGCATAATCCCATTTCAACTACATCAGATGCCTGCACCTTGTTCATGCAGGTGCAGTGCGAATTGCGCCCATACAAAATAAACGGGCTTAAATCACATACTGCAAAAAATTGCTTGTCATATTTTTGTAATCAGGATTGCAGTGTGATTCCTGTCCGTATCGCATGCAATTTCCCACACCACTATAATGTGGACCCAAGCTTCAACAACTCCTCTGTAGCTTTGGATATGTGTCTAATATCTATTGCTGACTGAAACAGGTTTTCCTCCTGAAGATTCCATGTGTTTGGTTCCATCCTTGTCCTGAATCCTGATCAGCAATGTTGGCTTTCTGCCACACACATCATTTTAAACTAGGGCCAAAAAAGTTCAGTTTTGGTCTCATCAGACCAGACAAACTTTTTCCATATCTTTGCTGCATCTCCCACATGCTTTTTGGCAAACTCCAAATAGAATTGTATTTGTTTTTTCCAGCAATGCCTTTCCTGTTATTACCCTTCCATAAAGCTTTGTGGGTTGTAGTTTTCTTATTAAAGTGGTTGTAAAGGCAGAAGGTTTTTGACCCTAAAGTGTTACTAAACCCAGGATTCTTCATTCACTATATCCAGTTTTCCACAGTACACAGAACATGGAAATGTAATTACTTTAAAAAATGTAAACTGATAAATATCTTTTCCCATCGGCAGTTAGAGCAGTCTTGTGACTTCTCTTAGTGTCCTGCAGAGCACTTGTTACAGCTTGTAAGAGTTTTCATTCTCCCTTGATTGTCCTATTCTACCTTGATTGACCCCTGACCCCTCTGTCTGGACAGCGCTGATTGGCTCTGTGCTGATCACATTCACTTTCCCAAGAAAAAAAAACTCAATACACACCAAACTGAGCATGTACAGCTTGCCCCCAAGGCCTTGTTCTATCAGCAGATGAATTGGGGGCAGCGGAAGAAGGGGAGGATCAGAGAAGACAGGATAAAACAGCCTTTTTACACAATGCAGAGGATTAACCCCTTAGGTTCCACAGTGAGTATAACAAGCATGCTTTACTGCATATAGAGACTGATTTTACTGTTGGGGTTTAGTAACATTTTAATGCATTCTCTGCATTAAGGTAAAAATCCTGTGTTCAGACCCCCCTAAATACCATATTTTTCGCTCCATAAGACGCACCTGACCATAAGACTCACCTAGGTTTTAGAGGAGGAAAACAAGAAAAAAAATATTCTGAACCAATAGATGCAGACATAATACAGGAAATGACCAGAGACTGCAGACATAATACAGGAAATGACCAGAGACTGCAGACATAGTACAGGAGATGAGCAGAGACTGCGGACCTAGTACAGGAGATGAGCAGAGACTGCGGACCTAGTACAGGAGATGAGCAGAGACTGCGGACCTAGTACAGGAGATGAGCAGAGACTGCGGACCTAGTACAGGAGATGAGCAAAGACTGCGGACCTAGTACAGGAGATGACCAGAGACTGCGGACCTAGTACAGGAGATGACCAGAGACTGCGGACGTACTACAGGAGATGACCAGAGACTGCGGACGTACTACAGGAGATGACCAGAGACTGCGGACGTACTACAGGAGATGACCAGAGACTGCGGACGTACTACAGGAGATGACCAGAGACTGCGGACGTACTACAGGAGATGACCAGAGACTGCGGACGTACTACAGGAGATGACCAGAGACTGCGGACGTACTACAGGAGATGACCAGAGACTGCGGACGTACTACAGGAGATGACCAGAGACTGCGGACGTACTACAGGAGATGACCAGAGACTGCGGACGTACTACAGGAGATGACCAGAGACTGCGGACGTACTACAGGAGATGACCAGAGACTGCGGACGTACTACAGGAGATGACCAGAGACTGCGGACGTACTACAGGAGATGACCAGAGACTGCGGACGTACTACAGGAGATGACCAGAGACTGCGGACGTACTACAGGAGATGACCAGAGACTGCGGACGTACTACAGGAGATGACCAGAGACTGCGGACGTACTACAGGAGATGACCAGAGACTGCGGACGTACTACAGGAGATGACCAGAGACTGCGGACGTACTACAGGAGATGACCAGAGACTGCGGACGTACTACAGGAGATGACCAGAGACTGCGGACGTACTACAGGAGATGACCAGAGACTGCGGACGTACTACAGGAGATGACCAGAGACTGCGGACGTACTACAGGAGATGACCAGAGACTGCGGACGTACTACAGGAGATGACCAGAGACTGCGGACGTACTACAGGAGATGACCAGAGACTGCGGACGTACTACAGGAGATGACCAGAGACTGCGGACGTACTACAGGAGATGACCAGAGACTGCGGACGTACTACAGGAGATGACCAGAGACTGCGGACGTACTACAGGAGATGACCAGAGACTGCGGACACAGTACAGGAGATGACCAGAGACTGCGGTCATAGTACAGGAGATGACCAGAGACTGCGGACACAGTACAGGAGATGACCAGAGACTGCGGTCATAGTACAGGAGATGACCAGAGACAGCGGACACAGTACAGGGGATGACCAGAGACCGCGGACACAGTACAGGGGATGACCAGAGACCGCGGACACAGTACAGGGGATGACCAAGAGACCGCGGACACAGTACAGGGGATGACCAAGAGACGCGGACACAGTGCAGGGGATGACCAAGAGACCGCGGACACAGTGCAGGGGATGACCAAGAGACTGCGGACACAGTGCAGGGGATGACCAAGAGACTGCGGACACAGTGCAGGGGATGACCAGGGACTGCGGACACCGTACAGGAGATGACCAGAGACTGCGGACACCGTACAGGAGATGACCAGAGACTGCGGACACCGTACAGGAGATGACCAGAGACTGCGGACACGTACAGGAGATGACCAGAGACTGCGGACACAGTACAGGGGATGACCAAGAGACTGCAGACACAGTACAGGAGATGACCAAAGACCGCGGACACAGTGCAGGAAATGACCAGAGACCGCGGACACAGTACAGGAGATGACCCGCGGACACAGTACAGGAGATGACCAGAGACCGCGGACACAGTACAGGAGATGACCAGAGACCGCGGACACAGTACAGGAGACCAGAGACCGCGGACACAGTACAGGAATGACCAGAGACCGCGGACACAGTACAGGGAATGACCAGAGACCGCGGACACAGAAGCGCTGCACTTTGTGATTGGTCCGGCGTCTTCTGGGACCTGTCATGTGTCCCATAAGATGCCGTACCATTCACAAAGTGCAGCGCTTCTCGCGCATGCGCACTAGGCACAGCTGTCACAGCCAAGAGCCCACACTAAAGATACTGGCGTGGGAAGACTGTACAGCGCTGGACCGAGGAACAGGTAAGGTTCTACTGCAGAAGAGAGACGAGCGGCCAGCCTGGTATTCTGACGCAGTGGTGGGAATACCGGACCGGCCGCTCCATATTCTCTCCATAAGACGCACTGACATTTTCCCCCCTTTTTTGGGGGGAAAAAAGTGCGTCTTATGGAGCGAAAAATACGGTAATTTTCTGAGCCTGATCTCGTACCTGTGTGTACTTTTTTCCCTCTCTCCCCCCCTCTCTCTCTCTCAATCCCACTCTCTCCTCTCCCTCCACACTGAAAATGGAGGCAGCATCAAGAGCTATTGGCTCCTGCTGCTGTCAATCACAGCTTGTGAGGAGGGAGTGGGGCTGAGCCTTGCCATGTGTGTCAATGGATACACAGAGCCTAGCTCGGGATCCAGCCAGAATGAACACTCCTATAGAAAGTGGCTAGCTATGGGGGCACTTGGAAGGGTGGAGGAGCTAAGAGTGCTAGTGGGGGACCCCAGAATAGGAGGATCAGGGCTGCTCTGTACAAAACCATTGCACAGAACAGGTAAGTATTATGTTTGTTAGTTAACTGCAGGCAAAGTGACATACCCATACATCGCTCACTGTACTAACACAGGGGGGGCACTCCCCCCTCGCGACTGCTGTGTCCACATGATCACTATGTAAGCAAAGCTGTTATGAATCAAATCTCATTCATAACAGCTCTGCTCCTCTTCTTAGTGAGCTGTGATTGTCTCACAGCAAGGCCAATCACAGCACCCTGTACCATGTGACCAGCTCCAGCCAAGCACAGATCACTATTCTGAGCTGTCAAAACTTAACTCCATGACAGTTCAAAAAAAGAAAAAATCCCTGATCACCCCACCCCCAAGTACTACAATGTTACAATCTAAACATTGTACTATTCTGATAAAAGTATTTAAAAAATGTTAACCTAAAAACATATAGAGAATTTTAAAAAAAAAATTTTTAACTACTTGCCAACCATTTTGCGGGCGAGCAGCAGCTCTTGGCAAAGCGACGTAATTTTGCGTCACTTCCTATTTTGGGGTGTGAACACACCTGCTCCCCCCGCTGCCCCAACCGTCGGTCCAGGGAGGGAAGTGAGAACACCGCACCGAGTAAAAGCACCAATACATTTTATACACACACACATTAGATTAGCACAAATATCCCTTTGATCGCCCCTATTAACCTTTGATCAACCCGTCACCCAATCAGTGCTGTTAGTACAATGTCCGTATATAGAATTTCTGCCACTGCACTAGTGACATCAGATAACGTCAAGTCCGTAAGCGTCCCTCCCAGCCAGGGTCAGCCAGCGTTAGATTGCCCGCACACTATCGCACGCCATTACTAGTATAGTGTTTGTAAGGATCAAGATATTGATCACATACAGAACTATACTAGTGCCTCCTTTGTATAGTGTCCCCAAAAATGCAGAGTTAGCAGGATCGGCTTCGTTCGCTGCCAGCACTAGCGTTTAGCCCCTCCGCTGTTTTCCCATGGAAGATTTGTATCAATTGATTGGGGGCCAAGGAAATTTATACGCAACAATACATGGCTGCCCACCCAAATTCAGCTCTTTCCAGACAGTTCGCATGGAAACCTATCATTTCTGAATTTAAACTCTTTTGGGTCTAATTCTCAACATGGGCATTACAGAGAAGAATGAATTGCAGTCATAATGGTCCACAGAGCCAATTCATCATATGCCCGTGTTCTCTGCTGTTACATATATACTCAACATGGACCAGCAATGTACTGGTACTTCGCTGAACTTTGAGTGGTTACACCAGGATGATGATGCTACAGGCATCATTCTGGTACCGTTTTTTTCAGCTGGTGGTCAGCTTTCATGTAAAAGCAATCCTAGTGGCCAATTAGCTGCTGAATTGTTTTTACGAGCAGCAGGAAGGGACATCCCCCCCCCCCCCCCCCCCCCCCCTGCTGCCTTTCAGTTTTCTTGGGCTCTCCTGTCCCACAGGGGAATCTGAGAATGAAGCCAGCAGTTCCTCAGGCTGACCATAGTGCTGAACCAGAATGGTTCCAATCATCTCTATAGTCTAAGAAATCGGAAGCTACGAGCATTTCATCACTTCAGTTTCACAGGATATAAACAGCGCCTTTTGTAAATTGGGAAAGCATCTGATCACACCGATCTTGGTTTGATTAGATAATGTAAGGGCAGAGGAGATATGTAGAGTCTGACAGACCCCAGATGTCTCAATAAAGAATCTATGACAATGAAGTTATAGGGGATATTTGCATTCCCTGTGATGGCATTAAAAGTGATTAAAAAAAAAAAAGGAACAGTGTAAAAATAATGTAAAAAAAAAAATGCACCCTTGCCTCCCTGCGCGTGTTGGTATGTAAACAGCAGTTGGACCATGCATGTGAGGTATCACCGCGAACGTCAAGTCGAGGGCTGTAATTCTAGCTCTAGACTTCCTCTGTAAATATAAATTGGTGGCATGTAAAGGCTTTTAAAGCGTCGTCTATCAATAATAAAAATGTGTTTAGTTTGTTGCCATTGCACAAGCACGCGCAATTTTAAAGCATGTCATGTTTGGTATCTATTTACTGAGCATAACATAATCTTTTATATGTTATCAAGCAATTGGGCAATATATTGTGTTTTTGTGCATTAACATTCTAAAAAGTGTATTTTTTCCAAAAAGATTTGCATTTGAAAAATCGCTGTGCAAATACTGTGTGACGGAAAAAA